CCCTCTCCACTGGGCTCCGGACTCTTTCTGCAGCCTTTCTACTGCTACTCCTTGGCTCCTTCTTACTGCTGTCTTTCAGCCACACCCCTGATCTTCTGGTAGGAAAGATCTACACCTAGCCCTCTCGGACAAGAGCGAAAAATCTCGTAGGGCCCATGTGCAAGTTGCACACGTTAAAGATCCCTTGGTGGTCTAAAGTCGATAAAAGTAGGCTTCGGCAGCCACCCAGGCAAAATTTCCTACCAACTGTGTCCTGTGCACTCATATGACATTATGCCGTTGCGAACCCCTAAAAACACTTTCCAAAAAAAACCCCAAACCTGTCTGTGTCACGTAGGGCCCATGTGCAAGTTGTGCACGTTAAAGATCCCTTGGTGGTCTAAAATCGATAAGAGTAGACTTCGGCAGCCACCCAGGCAAAATTTCCTACCAACTGAAAAAGTTTAATGTGTCCTGCGCACTCATATGACCTTATGCGGTTGCGAACCCCTAAAAACACTTTCCCAACCCCCCCCCCCAAACTGTCTGTGTCACTATCTTTATTGTTTTCTTTATCACTGTCTATGCCTCTATCTTCATAATTTTCTTTACCAGTGTCTTTGTCATTATCTCCAGCATTATTTACTTGATTATCTCCTCCAGTACTTTCATCATTTTCATCATCTGTTTCGTCATTATCCTTATCTTTATCCTCATCATTTTCTTTATAATTAACTTCATCATTGTCTTCATCATTGTGTTTATAATCAATATTTTCTTCATTATCGTCATCATTATCGGCATCATTATCTAAATCACGTTGTATCCATTCTCCTCCGCAGACGGCATCTCTGACATTTTTTTCTCGCAGAACAAATTTTTCTTTCTCTTGATATGCTTCTGTTTTTTTTCCCCTTTTTTGTTTCATCCCCCCCCCCCCCCCCCCTTTTTCTTGTTTTATTTTTTGTAATTGTCTGTTTTTCGGAGTTTTTTTTCTTTTTCTAATAGAAATGGGTAGGGTAAAAAATAACAAAACAAAAGAGAAAGACAGAAAGAAAAAGAAAAAGGAGCATATTTTTCACTGCTCTTTTCCCACAGGTCCTCCCATCATGCTGCAGCCACCGGTAAGCACCAAAGTGACCAAAGGTGACTCGCTACATCTGAGCTGTCTGGTGGAGGCTGACCCAGAACCTGTGACCAGCTGGCTCTTCCAGGGTCTGCCCGTTCCTCCCTCCGATAAACTGTCTATTGTGTGAGTGGGGAATTGTGTGTGTGTGTGTGTGTGTGTGTATGTGTGTGTGTGTGTGTGTGTGTGTGTGTATGTGTGTGTGTGTGCTGTGTTCTTCCAGGGACTGCCCGTGCCTCCCTCCGATAAGCTGTCTATTGTGAGAGTGGGGGACTGTTTGTTTGTGTGTGTGTGTGTGGGAGGGGGGTTGTGGAAGTTTGTGTGTCTGTGTGTGTGTGTGTGTGTTGTGTGTGTGTTTGTGTGTGTGTGTTCTTCTAAGGACTGCCTATGCCTCCCTCCGATAAACTGTCTATTGTGTGTGTAGTTGGCGGGTGCTCTGGTGTGGTTTGCTTCTTTTTTCCTATCAAACATCTCTATCGTCCTTATCTCTGCTCCTTCTTTTTTGTGTTTGTTACTCTCTTGCAACACCTCTAATCTTCAGCACTTCTATGACCTTACTGTGTTGCAATTGCCGTAAAACACTTACTAAAACGAAAAACTGTGTATTGTGTGAGTGGGGAACTGTTTGTTGCTGTTGTTGCTGTTGTTGTTGTTGTGTGTGTGTTTGTGTGTAATCTTCCAGGGACTGTCTGTGCCTCCCTCTGATAAACTGTCTATTGTGTGAGTGAAGTGTGTGTTTGTTGTTGTTGTTGTTGTGTGTGCGTGAGTGTGTATGAGTATGTGTGTGTGTCTGTGTGTCTGTGTGTCTGTGTGTGTGTGTGTGTGTGTGTGTGTGTGTGTGTGTGTGTGTGTGTGTGTCTGTGTGTGTGTGTTTGTTCTCAAATTCTCATAATTGTGTCAACTGCATGTAAAACATTGTGCTATCACTATCATTCAGTGAGCGAGATTAAATTTGAAATCAGTCAAACACTTCCAACTACAGTTTGTTTGATAATATCATTTTTGTCAGAAACGTGAACTGTCTTTTTTTCAGGAACCGTGGTCAAGAACTTTTTGTAAATGACATGGGCAAAGCTTGGGAAGGCCAGTTCACTTGTGTATCTAAAAATAGATATGGAAATGCCGCAGGGAATGCATCTGTTGTTGTGATTGGTAAGTTTGATGGATGTATTATATTATCCTGTCTGTGGGTTGTTGAAGGGCGTCACTGTAAGGTCATGCTTCCTTACTTTCCCACTGTTAATTCTTTCTGTCTGTCTGTCTGTCTGTCTGTCTGTCTGTCTGTCTGTCTGTCTGTCTGTCTCCCATCACTTAATGGCCATTACTGAGGCGATGTGCTTCTTTTTACTCTTTATTCAAATGGTCAGACAAAATGTCTAATACATTTCTACAATTCTGATAAAAGTATATTTTTTAAAAGTGCTTTTGGAACGGTAGGGAAAGTTGCCTTAGTATTTTACTTAATCACCTCTCTCTCCCTCTGTCTCTGTCTCTGTCTCTGTCTCTGTCTCTGTCTCTGTCTCTGTCTCTGTCTCTGTCTCTCTCCCTCTGTCTCTGTCTCTGTTTCTCTTTCTCTCTTTTTCGTCTCTGTCTCTCTGTCTTTCTCTCTCTCTCTCTCCCTCTCTCTCTCCCTCTCTCTCTCTCCCTCCCTCTCTCTCTCCCTCTCTCTCTCTCCCTCCCTCTCTCTCTCTCTCTCCCTCTCTCTCTCTCTCTCAGCCAGTATAAGCTCTAATTTCCCCTGTTATTCATTAGAAAGAAATTGTTTAATTACCTCACTCCTTGAAAAAAATTTATTTTTCATATTTCTTTCTTTGTCTGAAGGTTGTTTCCTTCTACGTAACGAACATCATAAAAATACCAGTGTTTTTTAATTTTAGAAGAAGTAACTTTGTAGGTGGTTGGCGGGTGCTCTGGTGTGGTTTGCTTTTTATTTCCTATCAAACACCTATCGTCCTTATCTCTCCTCCTTCTATTTTGTGGTTGTTACTCTCTTGTACCACCTCTAAGCTTTGGTACTTATATGACCTTATTGTGTTGCAAATGCCGTAAAACTTACTAAAAAACAAAAAACAAAAAACAAAAATCGTTCATCTATAGTGCGAGTGATGTATTATTAAATGTCATTGCTATTCTATTTATAGTACCACCTGCGTCGCTACACCCAATTGGTCAACTCACAGCCAGAGAGGGAGGTTCGTACTCCATCGAGTGTCCAATCGTTGGGGACCCGGTCCCTGACATTCGCTGGTATCACAGTAAGTTACACTCTCTTTAAAAAAAATGGTGAAATGGTATGGGTTTAATGCCGCTGTCCACACTATTAGTGAATTAAGTTATTTAAGAGGCAGGACCTCCGGGTTTAAAGTCCATCTCCAAAAGGACTGAGCCAAGCTGGAAATACAGGAAAAATACCTTTCCCAAGCACACAACGTTGGACCAAGCTGAGGCTCGAACCCTCGAACTCGCAATCTCACAATTACGAGTCCGGTAGCCTAACCACTATGCTACTGATGCCACCTCATTCTCTGTTGTCTCGTAAAAAATGTTTTACACCTGGTAGCCACGACATAGGTTTTTAGTCCCGGTGTATTACAAGCTTACTGCAGGTTGGCACTTACTAGAAAAGTTACAACTGACGGTTAGAAGGTCGCATTGGCACATCCTACCTCTTTTCTTGCGACGTCGATGGCTTAGTTGTTAGGCTGTGGGACTCGTAATCGTGAGGTTGCTGGTTTGGGGGTTTGAGTCGCGGGCCCGACTTTGTGTCCTTGGGAAAGGCAGTTTACATGAATTTTCCTCACTTCAATCAGGTGGGAATGGGTACCCGGCCATAGAAAGCGGAAGATCGTGTCAGTATATTAGTGTTTTAGCGCCTATAAATGACGGCTTGCACTGTATGCTTCCCAGGAAGTTGAGGTTGTTTCAGAATGCTCTCAGGTCTACCGGGGTACATGTAATAGTATAGATTGTAAAGCGCATAGAGCTTGCTGTTGAGCGGGGATTTGCGCTATATAAATGCTATCTGTTATTATTATTGTTTTTCTTTCCGGCTGTTGATTTTTTGGTCGTATTATTTCACTGTGCTAAATAGTGACTATTGTCTTGTCAATGTGCTTGGATGATTAGAGGACGCCACTGGTAGGTCCTACTTCTTTTCTTTCCCTCTGTTGCTTCTGTCTGTCTTACTTTTTTTGTGCACTGTAGAACTGTCATAGTGTCAATGTGCTTCACACTACTCAAACAAATATACAAACAATGAAACAAAAGTATGCTATAAATGACTATTAAAGTGTCAATGTTCATCTCTCTACTCAAACAAATAATTATATAGAAACAATGAAACAACAACAACAACAAAAAAACAAAAACAAAAAAAAAGCAATGGCGCTCATATGACCTAGATCTAGTGCAGTTGCGAGCGCGTAAAACCTCTACTAAAACTATTTAAAAAAAAGAAGTAAAACAAAGACTGTGTGACTATTATAGTGTCAATGTGCATCTCTTTACACAAACAAACAGACAAACGTCAATGCACTTTTTTTTGTGGGTGTTTGACGGGTGCTCTGGTGTGGTTTGTTTCTTGTTTCCTATGAAACATCTATCGTCCTTATCTCCCATTCTCCTTTTTTATGTTTGTTACTCTCTTGTAACACCTCTAATCTTCTAGCGCTCGTATGACCTTATGCAGTTGTGAGCGCCGTAAAACCTCTTCTAAAACAAACAAAACTTTTTTTTACTCAATGTTTTTTACTAAATTAATGTTATTCACTTTTTTTTTCAACTTCACAGATGGCGTTGATGTAAGTTTATCAAAAAAATCATCGCTCGGTGTGACCTTGACCCTCTCCAGTCTGGTCATTGCCAACGTGACAGTTGACCACGCGGGCAGCTACCAATGTGTGGGCAGCAATGAGGCGGGTCAGACCTCCTCCGAGGGCAAGCTCATTGTCAATGGTCAGTGAAGAAAGTGGGTTCTGCAGGGGTCTCAATATTCCGCTATTTAGTGGATTTCCGCCACTGCCATTTCCTCCGCTAAACTCCGCTACCGCGACAGCGGGCCAATCAGAGAGAGAGAGATCTGCTGGGAGGGGCTCTTCTCAGTAAGGCCCCACCACTTTCTGTACATGATCAAGATTGTAAATATATTTGTGAAGCGGGCTAACAAAATGAGATACTTTTCGGCTTCAAGCCTGATGGAAATATATACATCACACTTATCAGGAAGCTTTTACAATTTGTAAAAATGAAATAGTAAAAGGAATGTTATAGTTTAAGAACATGGTATCAATAGAAATTCTACAAATTTGACCCTAGTGTCGACTTTTAGCCAATTTATCGATTTATGGATTGCGAGAAATAACTCATTTTGTCACCACGCCCCACATTTGGTGACTCTTTTACTTGAAATTAGCTGCCAGATCAGAAAGTTCCTTTTTTAAAGAAATTCAGAGTCGAGACCCATAATTCTGTTGTCCGTTCTTGGCAATGTTCAGTGACAATGTATATGTTGGGGGGGGGGGCTCCGGTGGTTTAGAGGTTATGGTGTTCGCCTCTCATTCAGTAAGTCCCAGGTTCGAAACCTGAGAGCGAGGGGAACATTTTTTTTTCTCTAAAACATTATTCTCTCACCTTCTTTCCTGCTCTCTGATCATATTCTGTTGTCTGTTTTCATCACAAGGTCTCTTTGTTATTTCATGCTCCTAACCTCATTTTGTGGGTGGTTGGCGGGTGCTCTGGTGTGGTTTGCTTCTTCTTTCCTATCAAACATCTATCGTCTTAATCTCCCCTTTTTCTTTTTTGTGTTTGTTACTCACCTCTAACACCTGTAATCTTCGGCACTGATATGACCTTATTGTGTTGCAAGTGCCGTAAAACACCAACTAAAACTAAAACTAAAACTAACCTAATTTTTCTTTCTACTTTCACAGTGGCGCCTGTCATAGTGCTGGGGCCTGCTGATGTGACAGAGGTCATTGGGTCAAGGCTGACCCTAGAGTGTGATGTCAAAGGTCATCCAGTTCCTTCCATCCACTGGTTGTACAACGTGAGTGCTGACGTTCGACTTTGCTGTTCCCAAAGGGGTGATATTAACATGTTCTTATTCATAGTAGAATTGTAAATGGGCTGTTTATCAATGTCATGCTCATACTGTGCCGGGACAATGCAGGGCGAACTGCTGCTTTTTCTTTCCTCATCCTTATTATTGTCTTTTTCCTCTACTTCTTTTGTATGTTTGTCACTCACTTGTGAACTACTATTTCCGGGATGCTTTGATAGTCGAAGCAGACTTTGTGCTGTTGAAGCTAGAGAGGTGAGCAGAGTAAGCCCGATTCCTTGTAAGGACTTCTCTGTTGTCATCCACCCCTTTGCGCTCATATGACCTAATGCAGTTGTGAGCGCAGTAAAACCTTACTAAAACAAACAAAATAAACTTTGCTGGTTTCAAAATGTTTACTGTTTACTCTCTCTCTCTCTCTCTCCCTCTCTCTCTCTCTCTCTCTCTCTCTCTCTCTCTCTTTCTCTCTCCCTTCCTCCCTCTCTCTCTCCCTCCCTCGCTCCCTCCCCCCCCCTCTCTCTCTCTCTCTCTCTCTCTCTCTCTCTCTCTCTCTCTCTCTCTCTCTCTTTCTTCCTTCTGGCACTGTGACATAATAAGTGGTCAGCGATGCCGACATCACGCAGGAACTCAATATTTGCTTGGAGGTCCTTAGAATTACAGAGTTCTATCTGACATTATTGGCTGTCTTGAGTTACTAAGACTATGAGGTCAGAAAGCAAATGTTCCATCTGCGCTTTCAAAATTGTAAGATTATTTGGAGTCATTGTTAAAGATATACAAAGAATTGCATTCGAAAAAGCTTGACATGTTGTGAAACTCAAATCTTTAACGTCAAATTTCTCAAAACTGAGAACGGAGCAGATAGAACTTTGTAATTCTAGGGTAGCGATATATATATATATATAAAAGTTAATTTCACTTTTCATGACATTTGTCCCCACTCTGTTCATGTGCTCTTTTTTTTCCCTTTTACCGCAGAGCTCAAAGGTGTATTGTTAAGAGAGACTAACTGCTCTGACTGAAGTGTCTTTAGGCCATTCCCAAAGGGGGGACATTTCTCGTTCATGAACTGTAGAATTGTAAATGGGCTGATTCATCAATGTCATGCTGATAACTGTGCCTGATCTACAACAGGGAACTCCTGCTTTTTCTTTCCTAATCCTTACTATTGTCATTTTTCCTCTACATGTTTTGTATGTTTGTCACTCTTGTGACCCATTATCTCCGGGGTGCCTTGATAGTCGAAGCAGACTTTGTGCTGTTGAAGCCAGAGAGATGAGCAGAGTAAGTCTGATTCCCTGTAATGACTTCTCTATTGACATCCACCCTTTGGTGCTCATAATACTCATATAACCTTATGCAGTTGCGAGCACTGTAAAACCTCTACTACTAAAAAAAAATATCGGTGTATTATGCGAGTTATGTCCTTTATATCTGTGTGTATCACGTGACCATTTAAGAAGTGTTTTTCAAGTGATCACTCACGAATCACGGCAGGTCAGCTCAGAATAAACTCTCGAGCAAGTAGCATGTGTCATGTTGGAGATATTATGAAAGGTAAGTGAGCACCACTTCTGCGCATTATATGTGAAGTGTGCTGACAAAATGAGTGACATCTCACAATCTGCAAATGGAGATATTGGCCAAAAATCGACATTGGGGTCAAATTTGTAGATTTTCCATTGATGTCTTTTTCTTAAACCTTAACCTGTCTTCCACTACTTCATACTTATGAATTCTAAAAACTTCGCCTATTAGCGTGGTGTATCTATTTCCTTAAGGCATCTGAGAAGTAACTCATTTTGTCAGCTCGCTTCACATATTGAAAACAGATATTTTCCCCTGATTATTCCAGGGAAGCTCTGTGCTGCCGCAAGACGTTGATGCCTCGGAGGAGAATCATAAACTGACCATATCAAGCCTGGGATGGGCTCAGGTCGGTCAGTTTGAGTGTGTGGCAGACAGTTCAGAGGGAACTGCGACGGCTTCTGCTTTTGTCCGTCTTATGGGTAAGGATGGAAAAATTTTGAGCTCCGTTTCTTATAAAAGTAAGGCATAACTGATGCAGTTGCCCTGCAGACTGTGTCTAAAAAAATATTTAAAAATAATAATTACACTTTTATTGATCCCAGAAGGGCAATTTGGTTTACAATGGCCAACATGCATACTTACATACATACATAAGTACATAATTACATACATACATAAATACATAATTATGAATGCATACATACAAAATACATGCACGAATACATACATTAATACCAATATTACACCAGTACAGAGCAATTTACAACCATGCCATTGTCGGTTGCCACTGTGCAGCGCCCTGTATTTTGAGTTAGGGTTGTCGTGTCTTGCTCAAGGACACACCCCAGTGACTACCCAGCTAAACTCTGTGTCACCGACCTCTGCTTGACATTACTTGAGTCTAAATTCATTGCTCACTCTGTCACTATGTTAAGTGTAATGCGATACTGACTTTACACTTAACGAATAAGGTGTTAAAAAGAATTTTGGCATATAAATAAGTGTGTGAGTCTTGGAATCCCATGTTCTCAGAACTATGCATCTTGATGTTTCGCCTCTGTTGTTCTGAAGGTGGCTATTGTCAGAAGAATGTTAGATGAAGAGTATGTGAAAGGTTGGACTGAAGTTTATTTTTTGCTTTTGATTTCCTTGTAACTGTCTTTTAAAAATTCTCCTGTAACTGTCGATTAAAACAATTTTTTTTTGCATTCTCCTGTATCCGTTTTGTAAAATTTGCTGTCTTTTTTTTTGCATTCTCTTGTAACTGTTTTTTTTTTGTTTTCTGTCTTTTTTACTTTGCTCTCTCTTTTATTTGCTGTCTTTTTTTTCATTCTCCTGTAACTCTTTTTTTCTACCTTCTCCTGTAACTGTCCAGTTTTTTGGTTTTTTTGCCTTCTCCTGTAACTATCATTTTTTCTTCATTCTCCAGTCCCTCCAAAGATTGAAGAAGTCCAGTTCCCCACCACTGCTGTCCGACAAGGACAAGAAATCTCATTTGGGTGTACAGCTTCTGGAATTCCTTCCCCTTCTATGCAATGGGTACATCAAGGGAAAGTGGTGAGACCATCGCTGGATGGGAGGATTCGAACCCCAGCCCTTGGCTCAGTGGTGATTGAGAGGGCGGAGAGCTCAGACTCAGGTCTATACGAGTGCCGGGCGGAATCCAGGGTGGGAACCGACAGCAGAACGATGTCGCTCTTTGTCTATGGTGAGGATTTCTTCTCTTGTACTGTACATGACACATATTTTTTCCTCCCTCTCCTGCCCGCCCAGCAGTAATGGGTACCTGATTTCGAGTTGGAGAAGTAAAGGCGGCGTGGAACGGAACTGGCCACCCTACAACAATATGCCGAAGGCCCAGGAAGTTGTCTCACTAACAAGGCAATCCCCTATGTCCGGATCGGATATGGAACAACTTTACTTTTTACTGTACCTGAACTGCCGTCTTAAGGGAAAATGATGAATGATCCTGTCCATATAGCGAGGCAATTTGTTTAGGAGAGGCAAAAAACATTTGCACTTTATGACCCTTCCATTTCTTATTCTTTTAACTCTTTTTATCCTAGCCGTACCCCCACGGACTCTCTACCAGTCCTGGGGCTGCCGCGCCATATGTGTCGGAAGTCAGTGCGTATAGTTCGAAGTGCTATATTTCTTACATTTTCTCTACGATTTTAAGGAAATTTGGCATTTATGTTAGAAAGCAAATGTAGTTTTTGTAAATGCATGTAGTTAGGAAATACACCAATAGCACAAAGTAGATTTTGAGGTGTATTCCACCCTCGAACTTGACCCTGATTGCCGCGCCCACGACGTCCCACTGGATGTTATAGATTTAGATCTAGCCCTAAAAAGAGGTAAACTATAATTTAGCAGAGATCTGATTAAGCTGTTCAAAAATTAGTTTCAATCCACATTGTGGAGGTTTAAAAAAACCGCAAAGTTATTGGGTATTTAATTGTTCTTCTCACTTACACAGGTTGAAGCCTGCCTCTTAGATAATCTAAATTGTGTCGATCTGGGAGTAAAAACACCTTTTCAAAAATCGAACTCTCTATTTGTAACACTTTTAAACAGGGATGCCAAATCTCTGTTTTTTTCCGGCTTTTTCAATTTTTTTCCTCCGTTCATACACTTGCAAAGGAAAGTGGAGAGGTAGGAGAGATGTTTTTGTTTGCTCATTTAAAAACTTAACAAGGTTCATTTTAGGTGAGATGTGATACTCCCTCGCTCATTTTCAGTTTTTTTTTCAAAAATCATTTGGCATCCCTGTTTTAATCTTTGGCATTTATATAACATCGCTATTTGTGTTGCAAGTGCCTTAAAAACTCTTATTAACCTTTCCAGCCCCATGCGCGTATATTTTCAGCAGCGCTTGTACCTCCCTATGTACCTAGAGTGTATATTCTCAGTTTTGGAGATACGGAATTAGCACATTTTTTCTAAATCAGCCAACCTAATTAAACTTTAATTTTCATAATATTTGTTCATTTACCTTTAAACAGTGTTATTTGTTATTCTCTAAACCTCATTACAGGGATACTACATCACTTTTTAGAATGCATGCCTCTTTTTCTGAAATACTGCTGTATTGGCTGGAACTAGGGTTAGGAAGTGCACAAAATTGGCTGGGGCTGGAAGGCTTAAGACTAAAAGGAACTCTTTCGTTTAGACACTTTTTCCGGGAGTGTACGTCTCCCCTTAAAAACTCGTACTAAAACTAAAACAAACTGAAACAAAAGTGGCTTAAAATGTGGGTGGTTGGCGGATGCTCTGGTGTGGTTTGCTCCTTTTTTCCTATCAAACATCTATCATCTTTATCTCCCCTGCTTCTTTTAAATTTTGTTACTCTCTTGTAACACCTCTAATCTTCTGGCGCTCATATGACCTTATTGTATTGCAAGTGCAGTAAAACTCTTACTAGAAAAAATACAATCGTTGGCATCCCTGTTTAAATCTTTGGCATTTATATAACATCGCTATTTGTGTTGCAAACGCCTTAAAAACTCTTACTAAAACTAACACAAACTCTCTCGTTAACCCCCCCCCCCAGGTTGGTATCCCTGTTTAAATCTTTGGCATTTATATGACATCCCTATTTGTTTTGCAAGCGCCTTAAAATCTCTTAGTGGGTGGTTGGCGGATGCTCTGGTGTGGTTTGCTTCTTCTTTCCTATCAAACATCTATCGTCCTTTTCTCCCCTCCTTCTTTTTTATTTTTGTTACTCTCTTGTAACACCTCTAATCTTCTGGCGCTCATACGACCTCATGCAGCTGCGAGCGCCATAAAACCTCTACTAAAACAAAAAACAAAACATAAAATCTCTTACTAAAACTAAAACAAACTCTCTCGTTTACCCCTCAGGTGTCCCGGTCCCCCCTGTGCTGCTCACCGCTGTCCCTATCTCCTCGGAGTCCGTCTACCTGCTGTGGAGATGGAGCAGCCCGCTTCCCGATTTCCCCGAGATAGATTACTTTCAGATTTCCTTCAGGGAGAAGTAAGTACGTGAGTGGCTGGCGGGTGCTCTTGTGTGGTTTGCTTCTTCTTTTCTATCAAACATCTATTGTCCTTATCTCCCCTTCTTCTTTTTTATGTTTGTTACTCTCTTGTAAAACCTCTAGTCTTCTGGCACTCATACGACCTTATGCAGTTGCGAGCGCCGTAAAACCTCTACTGGAAAAAAAAAAGAAGAAGAAGTAAGTACAGTCGAAATATTGTCCAAGGCGACCACATATTCTCTTGAAGAAATGTGTGTGTGTGTGGCTGAAGAAAGGTCTTCGGTTGTCGGAAATTTGTGATGGTGAAATAGTGGCATATTCTCCTAACAAATTCAATGCTGAACATGCTGATTTTTAATTATTTCAAATGAGTAGTTTTAAAGATATGCCACGTTTTGTAACACACATCTATGCTTATTCTGACAATAGCCTTATGCTAGATGGTAAAAAAACTTCTTTTTTAAATATCTTTCTTTCTTTGTTTTAAGAGGTACATATCTGCCGCTGCGTGATCTGACAATTTGCGTGGAAGGGGGGGTGTGATGGGTCGTTAATAATGCTTTTTATCTTTTTTATACTTGTGGTGTTATACATTTAATAAATTCTAGTAAAATCATATCCAGAGATCTTGCTATCCGTTCCATAGTCCAGCTTGATTCCGACTGAGCTAACTGACGGCCCCTTTTATCGTGGTTTCTCACAGAAGTAGTGGAGAGACCCGAGTGTTCCCGACCCACTTTCCACCCAACGTGACCCGCATGGAAGTGACCGGTCTGGAAGGGGGCGTGGCCTATGTGTTTTACGTCACGGCCACGAATGACGTCGGAATGAGCGAGCCCAGTAACTTGATGTCTGCCAACACATTCCAGTCCTGTAAGTTATTTAACTCTTAGAATGTGGGTGGTTGGCGGGTGCTCTGGTGTGGTTTGCTTCTTCTTTCCTATCAAACATCTCTCGTCCTTATCTCTCCTCCTTATTTTTTATGTTTGTTACTCTCTTGTAACACCTCACATGTTACTTATGTTATCAGTTTATCAATAACTCAACGTGTTCTGTCTAGATCCACTAGCGCCACTAAAACTTCTTTTTTGTGATTGTTACACTTTTGTAACACCTCTAATCTTTGGCACTTCTTTGGCCATATTGTGGTGCAAGTGCCGTAAAACTCTTACTAAAACGAAAACAAATCAATCAATCAATCAATGTCTCAAAGACTGTTTATAACCTTCACCTTCTGGTCCCCGGCCCAGCCCCGTCCCGTCCCGTAGGACTCCATGTTTTGTCTGTGGGCGCCACAAGCGCCACCGTCTCCTGGGAGGTTCCTCAGGTCTCCTCCGGCGTGGTCAAACTTTACCAGCTGCGGTACCGGAGACTGGATGCCTATGTCCAGCAAGGTGAGATTTTGTGTCACGACATGGTGGAATCAGGCGTTCGTCAATTTTTTGGCATATGGAGTTATTGGTATCATCTTAAAGCCTGTCTATTTGCCTTGCTTTGGATGAAAACAATACCCGTTTATCTTAGATACAAGTCAAGATATTTGCGATTGAAGGAGATGAGGTCGCCTGGTTTCAGAGGTAAAGTTATAGAGAAAATGGCCGCCAAAGTTTGTTATTTCTTTTGCTTGAAAACCCTCGGAAACTGAAAGTTTACATCTTTTATGCATTTAATCAACGTTTTTCAGTAAAATCCACACTGGAATGTGTTTTTAATGGGCATAAAAGGTGTTGAGCTGAAAAACAAAAATTCGATAAAAATTCCCAAACCTGCAAAAAAATGCCAGTTTCTTCACTTTTGTTATTTTGACGGGCGCCTGATTTCACCATGCTGCCTCACATTTATTAATTTTTATGGACCGATAACAACATGAATTTATCATAGTCAAGTTCTGTTGTCTGTTCTGTATTTATCGCTAGCTTGTGTATGAGTAGCGGTGGGGGTAGGGGTCAAGTGTGTATTCATAATATGGGTGAAGGTGGGGTGGGGCTGGGTGGCGTGGAGCTTGGTGGGAGGGGAAACAGAGATGGTAAAATGAAACTGTATAACCTGACCAAGAAAGCTGACAGTTGTAGAGTGGTGTATTTTAATAAGAAAGGACCTGTTGGCAGTGAATGATATCCTTTATTTGGATAATTTTATGATAAAAATCTTCTGCTCCAACTGCCTTCCTTCCTCTCTCCCTTTACCCCTTCCCATCTCTCCTTCCCATCCTCCCTGTCTCCTTTATCCCATCTCGTCTATCCATCTCCCCCTTTCCCTATTCCCTTTACCCCTCCCCTCTTGCCGTCTCTCCCTCCCCTCCTCCTTCTCTCCCTCTACCCCCTCCATTCCCCACCCCTCCACCCTTCCCCCCTCTCTCCCTCTACCCTT